ACTAAAATTGATTTAAAAAGTGGGTATCATCAGATTAGGATGAAGGAAGGTGATGAATGGAAAACAGCCTTTAAAATGAAACATGGTTTATATGAGTGGTTAGTTATGCCATTTGGATTAACTAATGCACATAGTACATTCATGCGATTAATGAATCATGTTTTGCATGCTTTCATTGGCAAATTTTTGGTTGTTTATTTTGATGACATTCTGATATATTGAGCATCTGCAAATGGTATTAGAGGTTCTGAGAAACGAAAAGTTGTTTGTTAACCTTAAAAAGTGTTCCTTTAGCCCAAATCAGATTGTCTTTTAGGGTATGTTGTTTCAGCTGATGGAATTGCAGTAGACGAAGAAAAGATTAAGGCTACTAAAGAATAGCCAACACCTAAGAATATTTCTGAGGTGCAGAGTTTTCATGGTTTGGCAAGTTTGTACCGGAGATTCATCAAGGATTTCAGCACAATTGCAGCTCCATTGACTAAAATCGTGAAAAAAAGTGTCGAATTTAAGTGGGAAAGTGAATAGGAGAATGCTTTCAATTTGATTAAGGAGAATTTAATTTTGCACCATTACTTGCTTTACCTGATTTTACTAAAACTTTTGAAATTGAATGTGATGCATCAGGTATTGGCATTGGCACTGTTTTGATACAAGAGCGGCAGCGTATTGCATTTTTCAGTGAAAAATTAACCGGTGCAGCACTTAACTATCCTACATATGACAAAGAGATGTACGCATTGGTAAGGGCCTTAGAAACGTGGCAGCATTATCTTTGGCCTAAGGAGTTCATGATACATACTGATCATGAGTCGTTGAAGCACCTCAAGGGACAAGGTAAGTTGAATAGACAACATGCTAAGTGGGTGGAATTCCTTGAGACAATTCCCTATGTGATCAAGTACAAGCAAGGAAAAGAAAATATTGTGGCTGATGCATTATCTCGCAGGTACACACTTATCTCCATTTTAAGTGCAAAGTTATTGGGATTTGAGCACATTAAAGAATTATATGCTAATGATCCAGATTTTGCTAACGTGTTTAATGCATGTGAGAAGGCAGCTTCTGATAAGTTTTATAGGCATGATGGGTTCTTATTTAGAGAAAATTGATTATGTGTGCCTAACTGTTCATTAAGAGAATCATTAATAAGGGAATCACATGCAGGTGGCTTAATAGAGCATTTTGGAGTTAGGAAAACTTTAGATATTCTGAATGATCACTTCTTTTGGCCATATATGAAGCGCAATGTTGAAAGGATGTGTGAAAGGTGCATAACATGTAAACAAGCAAAATCTAGAGTTTTACCACATGGTTTGTATACTCCCTTACCCATACCTACCGAACCTTGGATTGATATAGCTATGGATTTTGTTCTGGGCTTACCGAGGTCGAAAAGAGGCCGCGATTCTATTTTTGTTGTTGTTGACAGGTTCTTGAAGATGGCACACTTCATTCCATGTCATAAAACGGATGATGCAACTAATATTGCTGATCTATTCTTCAAGGAGGTTGTTCGTTTACATGGTGTTCTAAGGACTATTGTTTATGATTGTGATGTTAAGTTCTTGAGTTACTTTTGGAAAACCTTGTGGGGAAAGTTGGGAACTAAGCTATTGTTTTTGACTACTTGTCATCCACAAACTGATGCACAAACAGAAGTGGTTAATAGGACGTTGTCAGCCTTATTGTGTTCTATTATTCAAAAAAACTTGAAGAATTGGGAAGAATGTTTGCAGCATGTTGAATTTGCTTATAATCGGAGCGTCCATTTAGCAACTAACTGTTCACCATTTGAAGTTGTGTATGGTTTTAATCCACTCACCCCTTTGGATTTATTGCCATTACCCAATGATGAACGAGCTAGTTTGGATAGGAAAGAGAAAGCTGAAGTGGTTAAGCAACTACATGAGAGGGTGCGACAAAACATAGAGTGACGAACTGAGCAATATGCAAATCAAGCCAACAAAGGACGCAGGAAAGTTGTGTTTGAACCTGAAGATTGGGTTTGGGTGAATATGCCGAAGGAGCGATTCCCTGCACAAAGGCATTCTAAGTTGCAACCAAGAGGCGATGGACCATTTCAAGTGATTGCAAGGATAAACGACAACGCATACAAGTTGGAGCTTCCTGGTGAGTATAATGTTAGTGCTACTTTTAACGTTTCTGATCTTTCTCCTTTTCATGTAGGTGACGATTTGAGAACAAATCCTTCTGAGGAGAGAAGGAATGATGGGAATCAAGATGACCCCACATGTACCACATCAAGAGATCCATTACACATTCTAGGAGGTCTAGTCGCGAGAGCTAGAGCTAGGAAGATGCGAGAAGCTTTAAATGGCCTTATTGAGCAGATCTGGGTTGATAACAACATGCAACAAGTAAATCGAAGCTTGGATGATTATCAGGGCATGCTAAACATCATTCAGATTCAAGAGAAGTTTGATTGAGATCATTTATGCTAAATTACATAGTTTGCATCAAAATCTCACAATTCTCTTGCAATGTGTAACAAACTAATATTTCATGTTACTTTAGGTTACTTTCAGTGATTTTCACATTTTTTGTATTATTTTGGGTTGAACATTCATTTATTTGAGGCCCAATTCGTGATTATTAGGATTAGGGCTTAGCGTGTTAGTTTCCTATTCTGATTAGAATTACTTTTCCCTATTTAAAGGACTTGTAACCCTAATTGGGGAGAAGCTATTGAATCTGAATTTTGAGAGACTTTTCTCTTTGGTTTGTTTCAGAACTTTATAGAACTTATCAAGATTATTCTTGTGGTGTTCTAACCTGACTTATCATTCTCGTTCTTAATCGTTCAAGGGTATGGTGTCAACCAACTTTATACCTCTGGTTCTTGTTGCATCATAGACAATGGGTCAAGGTTTTTACCTTTGGTTCTTGTTGTGACATAAACAACAGGTCAAGGTCTTATTAGAAACCTGATTTGCCTTTCCTGGAGTTTAGAAATCCCTTGTCGTGTTGTGGGTCTCATTGTTCTCTTTGGGGCTCTCATCATAGCTTATTTTTACGTTTGTTGTGTTATTTAGGCTAAACATTCAATTAGTTGAAGCCCAAATTCGTGGTTATTAAGGTTAGGACTTGGTTTGTTAGTTTTCTATTCTGGTTAGGATTAATTTTAGCTACTTATAGGGCTACAACCCTAATTGTAAAACAAACGATTACTCATTAACATTGTGAGAACGAATTCTCTCTGGTTCTTTGAACAATTGTTC